AAAAGAAGCCCATAACTTCCTTTTTGATTGTTGCACCAAATTGGGATTTGGCCTTTTAACTAATGTGCGATGCTAGCGACTTTGCAATTGGTGCAGTCTTAGACCAACATACAGAAAAAAAATGTTTCATGCCGTCTATTATGCTAGCAAAATGTTATCGGATGCACAGCTCAATTACACAACAACTGAGAAAGAATTATTAGCAGTTGTTTTTCGTTCGACAAATTTCGATCATATCTCACTGGTACAAAGGTGATAGTGTTCACAAATCATTCAGCCATTAAGTATTTGATCTCAAAAAAGGACCTAATCCATGCTTGATTTGATGGGTCCTTTTGCTTTAAGAGTTTGATCTAGAGATTCGGGACAAAAAGGGGACAAAAAACCAAGTGACAGATCATCTCTCCAGACTTGAGAATTCTGCACAGCAAAAGGGAAATGGTGTAATGATCAATGAATCCATTCTAGATGAGCAATTATTCTATGTCGCAAAGGAAGCACCATGGTGTGCAGATTATGTGAACTATATAGTGAGTCATGTGTTTCCCCCTATCATAAGTAACCAACATAGGAAGAATTTCTTGCTTGAAGTGAAGCATTACATCTGGGATAAACCATTCCTATTCAAACAATGTGTAGATTAGATGCTAAGAAGATGTGTACCCAAAGAAGAAATCAAAGAAACCCTACAGCATTGCCACTCATCAGGTTTTGAAGGACATTATGCAGGAGAAAGAACAGCGGCAAAAGTCCTTCAATTAGGATTCTATTGGCCAACTCTCTTTAAGGATGCCCATTTTTTCGCGTCAAAGTGCAACAAATGTCAACGAACTATAAATATTTCAAAGCAACATGAGATGCCCTTAAACAGTATTTTGGAGGTTGAGATCTTTGACGTCTGGGGTATAGACTTCATGGGCTCGTTCCCATCATCCTACAATAACCTTTATTTATTAGTTGCGGTGGATTACGTCTCGAAGTGTGGTTGAAGCAGCTGCTTTGCCTACCAATGATGCAAAGGTGGTGTTGAATTTCCTCCAGAAAAACATCTTAACGAGGTTTGGTACACCGAGAGCGATCATTATCGATGAAGGCACGCATTTTTGTAACAAATATTTTGTAGCCCTTCTCGCTAAATATGGAGTCAGCCATAAGATTGCCACAGCTTATCAACCCTAAAATAGTGGCCAAGCCGAAGTTTTGAATAGAGAGGTGAACCAGATTTTGGAGAAAATTGTAAATCCCAACCAAAAAGACTAGTCGAAGAAGCTAGATGATGTCTTGTGGGCCTATCGAACAACATACAAAAGGCCAATTAGGATGTCACCATATAGGCTTGTATATGGCAAAGCTTGACAATTGCCAGTGGAATTAGAGCATAGTGCATATTGGGCTATTCGAAAACTAAACTTTGACTTGCATGCAGTGGGTCAGAAATGTCTCTTGCAGTTGAATGAGATGGATGAGTTCCGTCTCCAAGCATACGAGAATGCCAAGCTTTATAAAGAGAAGATAAAAAGGTGGCATGATAAGAAGATCATTGAGCAGAAGTTTGAGCCAGGACAAGTTCTACTCCTTTTTAATTTGCGGTTAAAGCTCTTCCGGGGAAAACTCAAATCAAGATGGTCAGGGCCATTTATTATTACTAAGGTGTTCTCGCATAAAGCAGTTGAAGTCGAGGAAGCCAATTTGAAGAGAACTTTCAAGGTGAACAAGCAGAGATTGAAGCACTATTGGGCCGGCGACATTGATCGTCAAAAGACCTCAATTACCATTGCCAACCCGGAATGAAATAGGGAGTAGTCAGGATGAAGACTATAAAACAAGCGCTATTTGGGAGGCAACCCAAATTTTAGCTTTTAATTTTTATTTCATTTTTATGTTAATTTATTTTTTTTAGGAGTAATTATGATATTAGATAGTTAGTGCATTTTAACTAGTGTGTCAAAAGCCTACGGGTACCGAGGATCGAAAGAAAAAAAAAAAGGGAGCATGCACAAGCTTAAACAAGGAGCCACGATTAGTATCATAGTGCCTCAGTGCTTACTTGCTGGATAGCCAACTCCTCAGAAAGTGCAGCAGCACTGTCCCATAGTAAAATCATCGCAACAGCGCTGTCCATAGCACAGCAGCCCCCACATTCAGCTCCCAAATCAGCGCAATAATGTTGTCCAAAGTGCAACAACATTGTACATAGTGTAGCAGCCCACCAACTCCAGCAATTAGAAGGGCAGCACATCTCAAGGATTTGGTCGTACGAAATTTCCTCCTCCTCCTCCTCCTCCTAAATTTCAAAGCTCTAAAACCCATTCTTTCCAACTCGCAATCACTTATAATTCCATTGAATCATCAACTTGGAAGTCCCAATCTCTTATATTTATATAACAATATTCCATCTCAAGTGCCTCTGTTCTCCATGATCTCCACAGTGTCGAAATTTTGCATTGTAAAGTGAAAATCTTTGTCCTTTGCATTTAGTAAAGATTAATCTTGTTGAAATGCTTGTGAATTTAGGCTTGTGGTTTTTTTGGTGGAGATTATGAGAGTTGGGGTGGCTTAGTAAAGAAGAGTTAGGCATTGCACACAAGGTGTTTGTTGAATTGCCTTAGTGGAAACAAAGATTAGTTAGCTAGTTTGTGACTTGGTTTTTGGTGTTGTGGGCTATATAATTAAGTTGTAATCATGTCTTCAAAATGCCAAAGAGGGGAAGTCTCTAAATCCTCCAAGCCATACGAAAAAAAGAGGTTTGTTAGTGAAGCGGCTTCAGAGCGTTTTCATACATTGTTGGCAAAAAAGGCAATTGATTCCTGAATGAGATCTTCGCCTAGATGAGATACATGATGGGTGTTTACATGACATGATTATGGAGTGGGGTTGGTTAGACTTCACATAACAGCCGATGGCCGCTATAGTCCCCATTGTAAAAGAATTTTATGCCAATGCCAAGGAGGCCGAAAACCATGTGGTTTAAGTCTGGGGCAAAGCAGTGTCGTTTGACTAGGCACGCATCAACACTTATTATAACATAGAGAATATGTCAGACGACGATGAGTTTACCAAATACAGGACTGAAGAACTTGACTTAGAGGAAGTGATTAAGTATTTGTGTAGGTCGGGTGCTAAGTGGACATTAAAGGGAACTAAGATGCTTCACTTTTCACACAGCGAGCTGAGCTAGTTTGGGAAGGTATGGTACTACTTTCTATGTGCTAAGCTAATGCCTACCACACACGTTAGTGATGTACTCTGGGACAAGGCAGTATTGCTCTATTGCATAGTTAAAGGAAAAAAGCATTAATGTGGACCAAGTTATTCAAGACTTGATCACACACGCTATTAAGGGGACTTCAGCTAGCAAGATGCCTCATCCATTATTAATTTGTGGGCTGCGTAAGAAGGCAAAAGTCCATTCCTAAGCCAACCAAATCTATCTCAAACCTCTCAAACACATATTTCTACACCAAACCTATTTAATACAAGTTCTAGGACCTAAAATTTCATATTTTCACTTATTAAAACCAAATTTCAACTATTATTTTCACTAACATTTTAAATCTCTACTTTTTCAATCTACCAAATTCAAACACACATCACTACATATATCCACATTTTTTTTATCACAATTATTTACTATATATCTATATACATATATAAAAGAAAATGCGGGGTGTTACAAGGGGTATTTAATGAGTGGGATTTACACCTACGAATTGAGTATTCTTGGGTAGATGAAATTACAAGTTTCCAAGAATTTATGTTCCTTTTTATTCGTTTTGTGTGTTTTAATGTTATTTTGTAGGGATCATGATTTGGAAGAAAACAAGGTCATTTGGTACCCTAAAGCTTGGATCAACTGAGGACTAAGCAACAATGGCAGTTGTAGGCATAAAAAGGGATCAGCGCCATAGATCTAGATGTAGCACTGCAACTCCAAAAGGGCAGAAAGTCAGCACAGCTACGCTGATGTGTGGTGCTGCCGCACAGGTTTTAGCTTTGGAGACGAATTCTAACTTATTTTTGAGTAGGAATTGAACTCTAATGCTACATATATGTTAGGGTTTAGGCAGAGATATATGTATACTGCTATGAAGGGCTGCTAAAACATAGAGGGAACCAAGGATTGATAGTGAATTGAAGGCAAGGATCGAAGGAAGCAACACGAAGAAGATCAGAATAGGAGGCTAGAGGGAAATTGAAGATTGCAACACAGTTTTCATTCTTTTCTCTCACTTTTAGTTTTTGATTTTTCTGAGATGTTGATTAATTTGAGGATGACGTTTTTTAATTACGTTATGAACTAAATTTTTATTAAGATTGCAATGGAGTCTAATGTTTAGTTAAATTAATTCGCTCTCATTTTCAATTATTATTGATCATACTTAAGTTGTTTATCATATTTTGTGCTTAATATATGATTATTTGGCCAACAATTAATTTGATTTCCTAGGTGAAATTTTAAGATAAATTCTTAGGGTTTGGATTTGAATATGATGACATGCGTCTAATTATTTATTCTTAGGATTGAATAGCTAAGTTTGTGTATGGGATAGGAATATACATATATGCAGTGTGTAAATTTTATGAGAGTTTGAGCTTAATGAATCTATTCCAACTTATTTTGCATAGGAATGTAGTAATTTAATTGGAAGAGATATTTTTATCTAACCACCGGAAGAGTTTAATAATTAATTTTGAATTCTCAGTTAACAACTTATTTTGATCAATTAATAGGAAAAAGAGTAAAAAGATTTATACGAAGTATTTGGGGAAGGTGTGATCTTAAGTTCTTTTATATGGTGAAATCAATCCTTGTTCAGTAAATTTAGATTTAATTTTAAGTTAGTAATTTCATAGTTTAATTCTAATTGTTTAAATAAAATTGAATCGATATAAAGTTAGTACTTGAAAAATTATTAGTAATAATTCTCCGTGGGAACGATACTCTACTTATGACTTTATTACTTGTTGACCGTGTATACTTGCACATAAATTGTCAATAGAAAATTCGGGCAACAAACCCCAAGCAACTGAGAGCTCAAAGGGCAAAATCAGGGAGGCCGGCAAGAGGACATCGAAAAGAGATTCCGTAGGTGGTTCCACGAGGAAGAATCCAATTGGGTTTCGAGTGAAATCAAGCGAAGCTTTATTCTCTAAACGGATGACACCAGGTGCTGCTAAAGGTGAGGTTAAGGGCGACACCAGCAAGCCTAGGGACAAGGGCAGCGCTAGTGGAGGCAGAGAGGCACTGGGTAGCGCCGATAGAGGAAGAGACGTGTTGGGCAGGGGCAAAGCCAATTTGACCTTGGGTACAGTGCCAGGCGCCAGGGGTTCTTGTGGCGATGCTTCTTGTTTTGTGGAAGGTGGCAGCTGATTAGTAGTTAAAATTAGCATATTACTATGCTCTTGTAAGACTAATTATACTTTGATGGAGTTTCAAATGATGGCATTCCAGGCCATAAAGTGTACCAAGGACCAAAAACAATGAATACCAAGCTTTCATGCAACACTAGCATATTCTGGAGCAAAATTGGGAAAGCTTGGACCAAGCCAACCACGTTCGAACGCCAACTCACTTTCGAGCATCCACTTGAATTGATTGAAGCCTAGACTGCTAAGAGATGGCGTGTTGCAGCAAAGAAGGAAGACTCTAAGGTACTTGAGTACCACGTTCGAAAGCCAACTCATGTTCGAACGTCCACTTGAATTGATTGAAGACCAGGTGATGAGTGCAAGGCGCCAAGAAATGCATTGAGTGTGGAAATGGGTTTCCACAGAAGACCACAGGCCACTTGAGTGAGGAGGTTAGGCCCCATCTGGCATTCGAATGCCCACAAAGCAAAAACAACAAAAATGTTCGAACGCCAGACAACGTTCGAACACCTTTAAAGGAAAAATAGAGACAACGTTCGAATGCCAACTCACGTTCGAACGTCCACCACTAGCAGGCTGTAGAGTAGTTGGTTTTTCACTTGGACTTGGGCGGCATACACTATTCATTTAGACTCCCTTGTCTCCCCCTCCTCCTTGCCTATAAATACTTCCCTTGGGAGAGCCTTTGGATTGAAGGATGTTCATGTAGAATGTAAGGCATACACTACACCAAGAACTTGTCAAGAGCTAGATGGATGCTTAGACTCCCACTCATATAGCTAGATTTATATTTGCTTGTATCAAGGGAGATAGTTCATCTTTTGGCTGAGGAAGCAACCCTCTATTTCTTGGTTGAGGAAGCCACCCTCCAAATGTGACTAACTTTCTTCTACTTTTATTATTCTTTTATTTCACTTCCATTGCTTGACCTTCCTTTTTTCATAGAGGAGTGAAACTCTTCCACTTTTCTAGAGCTTTACCAAAGCCTACCTTGTAAGTTCTCTACTTAGAGAGATGAGCATCACTCACTTTTTTAGCTTTACTAAAACCATGAAGAGTGAGTAGTTCCTCATTCACTCTTTAGTAAAAGGTGATGAATATGTATAAATTATCTGAAAGTTATATTTGTGCATTTCTTTTATGCTTTAATGCTTTATATTTCACTTGTTCATTGAATGATTGAATGTACCTAGCAAAACTAAGGTACTTTGTATAATCATGAGTTCTTTCTATGTCAAGGATGACTCTTGCATGGAAAGACCCGTTGGTTCAAAGCAAGTACCCCGGCTAGATCTTCATGACAACATTTTAATTTTCATCATTATTGTGCTTTATCTAAAGAATGGAACATTAATTCCATGGTTGGATGTCTTGTAGAAACACTTGCTTGTTTGTAGATGGGTTAAATCTCGGCACAGACAATTCTTGTAATCTTCTAGAAAGGCATCGGAATCATGTGTTTAATTCTCATAGTCCATCTTTATCTTCTGATTAACTTGTTATTGACACGAAAGTTTATTGAGTTATAAAGCACAAGTATAATAAACCAGATGATCAAGTACATGTTCTAATCCTCAAGCTAAAGGCTGACTGTTTTACAATTGAATTTATCTTATATTTTGTCTAAAAAACTCTGGGAAAGAATCTTCTATTCTATTCAAAGAAATCTTATAACTTCAAATTCTCAAGGTTTTCAATTACTTGGTCTCTATCACTGCTACTTCAAAACACTCATCATAGTTCGCTGTGGATAGGGGCGGAGCCAGACTTTTTTAGTCGTGGGGGCAACTTAATTATTAGTTAATTTTGTGTCATGTTTATAAATGATATTTAGAGTTGAAATTCAACTTTGATAGCAAAGAGACTACGACAGTGGAGTTTATAAACCTTGTGGGTTGTTATATAAATTTTTGAGTTTTTTTACAAATAAGAAAAAAAAAAAAAAATTCTACAAAATTATAACTTCTATGCGTCATGTTACAACTTTTAGGATTAAAGTTACAATTTTGTTTTATCAAATTATAATTTTTGAGATACTTGAAATCAGTACTAAATATTAAAATTGATTGTTTTAATTCAAATCAACTGTAAAATCTAAAAACTAGCTTTTCAAATTTATCTAAATAAAAAATATTTTGTTGTTCTTGGAAGAAAGAAATTGGATGTGATCCAAATTGATTCGTGTTGGCCTATCCCCTAATCTGACTATCTATTCAAATTTGTTTATAATTAATCAAATTTTTATTTCATTTAAAATAATTAAATCTAAAAAATAAAGTATATGAACGGCCAAGACCGATTCATATTTTTTTTTTTTTTGGTAAGTAGGATCACTCCATAATTTTCTATTGTTTTTATAGCAAATCCCAATGTCAGGCGGACATATGGGCCCACAGCTAAAAATCTATCAAAGACAAATGATGTCACACTTGCTTGTAGAATACAAACTTACCCTTGAACTTTTATAATATTTCACTAGGGGCAATGTCTTAAATTTTTTGAAATTCTAAATATAGCCCACATGTTTTCAAAATTGCAGTGGGGGGCAGCTGCTCCCACTGTCCCAACTGTAGATTCACCCCTACCTGTGGATTTGACTCCGGACTTAACCGGATTATTATTACAACTGGACTGCCTGTACTTGGGTGTACACATTTCGAATCAAGTCAAGTTTTTGGCGCCATTGCTGCGGAACCATCAAAAGTGTTTTAAGCTAAAAGGTAAGAAGACCTTCCTTTTTGTATATATATTTGCTTTACTGTGTAAAAATTTGTCTTCATTGTTTTTATGTTTGAGGACACTCCTCACTATCAAAATTTGTCAGCAGAATCATCTGGGTCTGTGAATCAACCTGAACCACCTTCACCTAGATCAGTAGTAGACTCTAGTGAAAGTAGAATGGAAAATAATGAAAGACAAAGAGAAGTTCTTGTGGGAGAAGGAGATGTGCCTAACATTCAAACTTTGTGGGATTACTTAAATCCTACAAGAAATAGTGTCCCCTCTTGTTTTATCTTTCTTGAAGATGCACCCCTCTTTACTATAAAGACGGGGATAGTTCAACTACTCCCTCAATTTCATGGACTCAAAATAGAAAACTCATATCTGCACATAAAAGAGTTGAAGGAAATATGTGGAACCGTTCAAGACAATTCTGAGCTAGCCAAAATGAAACTTTTTTCATTTTCTCTAAAGGATAAAGCTAAGCAATGGCTAAATTCTTTAAAAGCTCTTTCAATACCTGACTGGTGGGCACTACAAAATGAATTTTTCAGAAAGTTTTTTCCTCTACACCGCACTAATGCACTTAAAATGCAAATCATGAATTTTTTGGTCAAAGAAGGAGAAACTTTTTACCAAAGTTAGGAGAGATTCAAAGATCTTCTCCAGTCCTGCCCGCACCATGCTTTTGAGAACTGAACTTTGGTAGGATTTTTCTATGACTCCTTGCCCACTAGATTACGTCAATTTGTCGAAATGATGGCTCAAGGAGAGTTTATGAGCAAGAGTTCGGAGGAGGAATTCAATTTTTTCAATAACATATATGATAGTTCTTAGATGTGGGACTCAGCCTCCCCTACCATTGTTGAAGCCAAACCATCCACTTTCCAAGGGGGTAAGTATGTCTTGAGAGATGATGATGACCTAAGAGCAAAAATGTCTACCCTATCTTGAAAGCTTGAAGCTTTAGAGATGAAAAGGGTTCATCAAGTTGATGTTGGCCCTCTCACAGAACAAGTGTGTGGGATTTGTGCACTGACAGGACACCCTATTGGGGAGTGTCCAACCATTCCGGCATTCAAAAAGGTTTTGTTGAAACAAACAAATGTTGTTTCCAACTTCAACAAGCCTTACTCCTACCTGTACTCTGAAACATATAATCCAAGGTGGCGGAATCATCGGAACTTCAGTTGGACAAACACACAACCAACACCCATGAACTAACAACAAGGTTTGCAACCACCACCCCAAGGACCTCCCGCATATCAACCATACCAACCACCACAAAAGAGGAGTCTTGAGGATACTCTGAATCATTTTACGCATAGTCAAATGAACTAAAATAATAGTTTCACTCAGGCTTTTACTGAATTCAAAACCCAGACCACTCAATCTTGCGAGGATCTCAAAAACCATATCTAAAGATTGACCCAATCCATGACCACACATGAGAAGGGCAAGTTTCCTGCCCAACCAAAACCACCACAAGGCCAATTCCAAGTGAGAAATCCTGCAATCATGGAAACTCCACAAGACTAAGCCCAAGTTGTCACTACACTGAGGAGTGGCAATGTGATTAACAAGACCATTAGGGACATGCTAATTCCCAAACCAAAACTTGAGTCAATCTCAGTTAAGTCACCAGTTGAGCCTGAACTTGTAATTTAGGAGGAACCTGAACTTTTATTGAACAAGACCCAGAACCATCAAAAGAAAAGGAACCTCCTATCCTATTCTTGCTCCTTTTTCTCATAGACTCAAAACTGTACAAAAGTTGAATAATCAGCCAGAAATTTACGAGCTCTTCAAGCAAGTAAAGATCAACATCCCACTTCTGGATGCAATCAAACAAGTCTCGTCTTATGCCAAGTTTCTAAAAGACTTATGCATAGTCAAGAGCAGCCAGAATGTCCACAAGAGAGCTTTCTTGACATAACATGCCAGTGCCTTGCTTCAACACAAAACTCCTCCAAAATACAAAGATCCTGGGTGTCCAACCATGTCGTGTGTCATTGGAAACTTCAGAATTGAACAAGCATTGTTAGACCTTGGAGCAAGTGTAAATTTTCTCCCATTCTCTGTTTACCAGCAGTTGGGTCTGGGTGAACTCAAACCCACCAGTGTTACACTCTAATTGGAAGACAGATCTATCAAAGTCCCTAGGGGCATTGTTGAAGATGTACTTGTCCAAGTAGACAATTTTGTCTTCCCTGTTGACTTCATTGTTCTAGATACTCAGCCAGCAAAGCATTCAGAGAACCCAATTTCTGTTATTTTTTA